CCTTTCTTGCTCTGGCAGGTCAAGACGCATCTCCAGGCTCAGACCGTGGCCGCCTTTGCCGTGGGCCACCAGCACAACCACCAGGTGGACCGAGGGATGGAGGCCTGGCTGGAGGGGGGCGGGGGGCCATAGGGAGAGGGGAGGCGGGAGGAGGACCCGACCTAGTGCAGAGAAACCAGCTGTGGGGGCAGCCCTGCGGTGTCCAGCCCCACCCCCAGGAAGGCACACCCAAAGAGCCCCCAGCTGGACCCTCAGCTGCACACCACACCTGCTGTGCAGGCACCTGAGAATCCTCCTGAGTGGTTGCCAGCTGCTTATGTCTAATCCCTTTTACTGGCTGTATTAACGTGTATTCCTTACAACAGCCCTGCAAGGTAGGCCAGTAGGAGTTCCCTTCAGTGGCTGTCCAAAGGCCATCCGGGGAGGAGTGTGTGTCAGGCCCGTTTTGAACGGAGGTGGGCCCCCCTGCTAGCACAGGCTGGAGATCCCAAGGAGGGGCGGGGCTCTGGTGGCCGGGGCAGAAGAAGATCTTGTGTGCGAGGTGCCGACACTGGACAGTCTGCTTTCTGACCGTCTCGGGCATGCGCGGTCCCTGCGTTTCCTGCAGGGGCGTGGACCAGAAGGGTGCCTTTGGCCATGGATCCTTCTTTCTGTTTGGGAGGGGGGCACACGGGGCTTGCCAGGCTCGCCCCCCCAAACAGAGCTCGCCCCGCCCACCCTGTGCTCACCCCATTTCGCCCCCCTGCCCAGTGACACCCGGTGTGTTTTGCAACCCTTGGAGTGTCCGAATGGGGCAGGAACGTTGGTGACGCTGGCTGTTTGTGCCGGGCTTTCTGCCGACCTCAGCAAGTGTGTCTGCAGCACACGCGGAGCCGCTCCCTCCCGCTGGCTGATCTCCCAGCCGGGAGCGGAAAGTGACGGGGGGCTGGGAGGAGGAGGAAACCTCACTGTGCCACTGCCCTCTGTGTGTGTGTGCGCGCGCGCGCTCCTGCTCCCTTACGTAACTCCCCTGGTGCTCCTGTGGAATTGGGGGAGGGGTCCCAGCTCCTGGGTGTCAGCACCCACAGTCAAACAACAGAGCACACGCATCTTCAAAGGGTTTACTTTATTGCTAGCACTGTGGTAGCATAGACACAGTTGCTGTTAGGAATAACTACAACATAGGAAGCTGAGAGAGAGAGAGGGTATTCAAATGTACCACCACCACCACCTATGGGCCAATCGGCCTGACTCCCGCGGGCGGGAAAGAGGACCAAGGCAGTTGGAGCCGAGGCTGGGAAAAGAAACTAATCCCACAATTAATGGATGGGAAGACACTACACAGGCTGGCTACAAGGTCAGTGATAACGAGGAGAAGCGAAAAGAAAGGAATGCGCCAGCAACTGGCACACAGGTCATGAAAGCGACTATATGGCAGCATAGCTGACACTGGGGCTGGCCTAGTCTGTTGCTCGAGAATCATAAGAACATAAGAGAAGCCAATGCTGGATCAGGCCAGTGGCCCCTCCAGTCCAACACTCTGTGTCACACAGAGGCCAAAAATACCAGGTGGCATCAGGAGGTCCAGCAGTGGGACCAGGACACTAGGAGCCCCCTCCCACTGTTGTGTCCCCCCCCCAAGCACCAAGAAGACAGCCCCGGAGTCCCTATCTATACCTTGTGGCTAATAGCCACTGAAGGACCTCTGCTCCATATGCCTATCGAATTCCCTTTTGAAGCCGTCCATTCACTCCTGTGGCAGTGAATTCCACGTGTGAATCACTCTTTGGGTGAAGATAGGAGGACTCCCTTTTATCAGTTCTAACCTGACCGCTCAGCAATTTCATGGAGTGCCTACAAGGAGTTCTTGTCTTGTGAGAAAGGGAGAAAAGTACCTCTTTCTCAACCTGCTCTTTCCCATGCATAATCTTATAAACCTCGATCATGTCACCCCTCAGCCGTCGTTTCTCCAAGCTAAAGAGCCCCAAGCGCTTTAACCTTTCCTCATAGGGAAAGTGTTCCAACCCTTTTATCATTCGAGTTGCCCTCTTCTGCACTTTTTCCAATACTATAATATCCTTTTTAAGGTGTGGTGACCAGAACTGCACATGGTATTCCAAATGAGGTCGCATAATTGATTTATACAGGGGCATTATGATATTGGCTGATCTGTTTTCAATTCCCTTCCGAATAATCCCCAGCATAGCGTTGGCCTTTTTTATTGCAGTCACACACTGTCTTGACATTTTCATTGAGTTATCTACTACGACTCCAAGATCTCTCTCTTGGTCAGTCTCTGCCAGTTCGGACCCCATCAATGTGTATTTATAGTTAGGATCTTTGGCTCCAGTGTGCATCACTTTGCATTTGGCCACATGGAACCCCATTTGCCACGTGGACGCCCCCTCGCCCATCCTCGACAGATCCCTTTGGAGTGCCTCACGATCCTCCCTGGTTCTCGCCACCCTGAACCACTTCGTGTCATCCGCAAATTTAGCCACTTCACTGCTTACTCCCAATGTATGTGTTGCACGTCAGGGAGATAAATATTTTCCATGGAACCAAGAGTGGTGGTGCATCTCGCAAATGTGCCAGCATCCCTGTGGCAGCCGTCCTGGAACCCTGGTGCCGGAGGAGGCCCGTGTCCCTGCTGGAGCCAAAGAGCTCTGAGCGCTGGTTCACATCTGGGGCCCAAAACTCTGACGAAGGAGCCTCCCCCCCCCCGAACTCCCGCAGTCTTTGGCTCCCTCAGAATCAGGGAGGAATCAGCTGCCCTGTCCTGCAAGGTCGGCCTGTTCGGGGGGGGCGGGGCAGGCTGGCCATGAAGCTGCACCTCCCCTCTTCCGGAGGGCTTCCTCAGTGGGTGGGGGACCCCAGCAAGCGGGCCGCCTTCCAGGGGCAGTGGCCAACCCTGTCTTTTCCGGGCCCCCTTCACAGAGCGTCTGTGGAGCTTTTGAGACCATCTACAAGAAGCAAGGGCTGCTGGGACTGTGGCGGGGGGTGAACGGTGCTGTGCCCCGCGTCACGGTGGGCTCCGCAGTGCAGCTTGCCACCTTTGCCTCCGCCAAGGAGTGGGTTCTGAAGCACCAGGTAAGGAGCCCCGGCGGGGAGGGGAAGGGCCGGTTGCCTGGCCAGCCTCTCCAAGAGGGTGAGGGATGACCGGGACTGACATTTGCCTTCTGCCCCCCACCCGCGCGCAGTCCCTGTGCCGGGGTAGACACAGAAGCCGTGGAGGATGTCCTGCCCCTCCCTGCCGCCTGGCTTTACGCCTCTCCTTGTTCTGAAGTCATGGCCAAGCCAGACAGCTTGGGGGGGGGGCTGGCATTTAGCACCCCCCTTCCCGCCTCTCCCGCAGTGGTTCCAGGAAGGCAGCTGGATGGTGGCCCTCAGCGGTGGCATGATCAGCAGTGTGGCCGTGGCCGTGGCCATGACCCCCTTTGACGTGGTGAGCACCAGACTGTACAACCAGCCGGTGGACGAGATGGGCAAGGTAGGCGCCAGCAGCAGGGCCATCTCGGGAGGGGGAGGGCCCCACGGGCAAAGCGAGGGGAGGCGTGGCAGCAGCCATACAGTCTGCCACATGCTGCTGCTGCTGCTGCTGGGGAGCCTCTGTTGGCCCCCTGTGGAGACGGAGATGGTGGCCTGGGGCAGGGTTCCCTCTAAGCCGGGTAGATGTGAGCCGGCTCACAGCTTTTTAGCCTCCGGCTCACACATTTCCCCCTTCGCTCAGGGAGGAGGGCTCCAGAGCAAACTAATGTATGCAGCAGCCCAATGGCTCGCTCACCACTTTAATGCCAGGAGCTCACAAAGTGGAATTTTTGCTCACGAGACCCCACGGCTGAGAGGGAGCACTGGCCTGGGGGCGCCCCCCAGGGATCCTCTGCAGCCCCCTCCCCTTGGGAGCTGAGACCCCGGACTGGAACTGCCTTTCCTCCTGCCACTGGGGGGCAGTGGGTGAAGACCATGCGGGTGGAGGGGTGATGTGGGGTGCCGCTGGTGTGCTGTGGCTGTGAGCCGGGGCACGGAAGAGGCTGGCGGAATTCCTGAACATCTCTTTGGCGACTGGGAAGGCTTTCGGAACGCAGCACCCCACCCCACCCCACCCCAGTTTTTGGAGCGCCAAGGGCTGCTGCCTCCAGAGACGGGAATCTTAAAAATGCTTCAGGGAGACGGGGCACTTGGGAGTGGCTCCCTTTCC